ATCAACCAGTGTGGCGGTGCGACTCACCCCTCTCCTTCTCTCCCTCCATGACGCCCGACTATTACTGCTATCCGCCCGTCCATCAGCACCGCGGTTGGGATGAAACTCTTTCGCCGCACGTGTGGCTTGTCACTGACCCCGAGTGCCCGTCGCCCGGTCCTGGGCTGTACACATCCTGGTCAGTGCCAATCTCATCTCACTTACCTGCTCTAAACGATGAACCAACAGGCACCGGGTCCAGGCCGTGACTGAGGGCCGACACGAGCCGGTCTACTTCGAGCGTCAAGAGGACGCCTACCCGGAATGGCACTTCCACTGCCGTCGCGGCGAGCATCCTCACCCAGTCGACCCCGACCCCTCCAACGCCCGCCCACCCTTCAATTATGAGCAACCTCCATCCACGACTCCCCAGTCTGCAGCCTTGCCCAGCTTACACTTCGCTGTTCGAGGTGGGGAACTCGTTTACAACCGCCTAGAGCCGGCGATAGAGCAATACCTTCGCCTCAGTGCCGCTGTGTCGACCACGGAGCTGATGGCCACTGACAACCCATACAAGGCCGTTTTCTTCGCCCGGGGTGCGGGTGAGGCTGCCGCGGAGCTGCTCGCCGCCGGCCGCAGTGATGACAACAACCCCTTCGTCAATTCAGGCCCCGCCGTTCAGTGTGGGTCACTCACCTCGCCCATCAGTCCACCGGCTCGCGGCACGTCTACCCCGAGGGCCACGACCTCACGCGACCCCGCAACGCCATCCTGCACCAGTCGGTGTGCCACTTCCCGCCCCGTCTTCGTCGAGCACCAGCAGGGGCCCCCAATCAAGTAGGAGAAGAAACATCCCGGTGTTCGGGACGAAAATGCCTCCTGAACGCGGATGACCTCGATTTCGGCCGCGTTGAACGAAGTGGACAGGGAGGCGAAGGAGAGGCGAAGGAGAGGCGGGCCAGGGCTTCCACTGCGAGGAGGGCTGCAATTGCAGGGGCGTTGTCATCGACCCCCAAGGGCCAAGGTGGGATGGAGTCGGGACAGGGTGGGAAAGGAAAGGGTAAACTGGTCCAGGAGGACGATGCCGAGGAGACGGACTACGACCTCGATGGGGAGTTCCTCAAGATCGCGAGCGACTGGGTTCCGCACGAGGACCGTTTCGACCCCGCCACCGAGAACAAACCCCGCGACGACGCCTGACTCACGTACGGCCCTGCAAATGTTTTTTTTGATATCATCTGTACATCTGTCATCTGACATCTGAATGTTTTCTTGAATGCAATCTGCGGCTTACCTGGACTAAAGAAGGGGGAAAATAAAACAAATCTTGCCCTAGGGGGACAATGCGTGTTAACAGGACCTTAGATGTCCCGCTAGGGTCATGAGATGTCCCCCCCCAGTCCCGTTAGCGTCTCCTTAATTTGGCCAAACACGGACAAATAAGACCAAACAAATGCCAAATTAGGCCTTAGAGGGGCCTTTAGGACATTTTCTGTCCCGTTAAGGCCCATTTTCCCTCTAGGACCCCACTGTTTTGGTCAAACAGCGCCAAAGATTCCAAAAATAGAGAAAAAAAAAATTGTCCAATGTCCCCCCAATGTCCCCCCTCGATGTCCCGCTTAGGAAAGGTGTTTGATCACGTGATAGGTCACGTTCCTCCTTTGTTTGTAGAGTCACAAGTCAATTTCTGTCCCCTTCCACGACCACGACAGCAAATGACCAAAACCAGATCTTCAAAGAAAGTCAAGTAAGTGCCACCTTGCTCAAGGACGTCTATAGCTGACATGTTCCAGTCCCCCCCCGGCCGGCAAGGCCAGAAACAATAAAAAACCGCCAGCCAAAGCAAAAAAAGCCCAGCCTAAGAAGAAACCGCCCGTCCCCCAAAAGAAGGCAGCCCAGAATCCAGAGTCTGGAGAGGAGGAGGACGAGCTCCAGGAGGACATTGACCTCAACGTCAACCCCGACCTCAACGAGTTTTCGCATACCGGGGCCTTCGACGACGGGCAGGGGGGCGCGCCGAAGGGGGACAAGTCGACTCCACCCCGCCGCGACAAGCCTGGCGACACGCCACCTGCTCTCCCCCGCACCGACGACCCGCCACCTGCTCCCCCCGCACCGACGACGCGCCACCTGCTCCCCCCGCACCGACGACGCGCCAGCTGCTCCCCCCCGCACCGACGACAAGCCCCTGGACGACGCCGCCGTGAAGGGGGACAAGGGGGACAGCTCGACTCCGCCCCGCCCCGACAAGCCTGACCTGCTCCCCCCCGCACCAATGACGCGCCACCTACTCCCCCCCGCACCGACGACGCCCCCCCGCCCCCGTCTGAGAAGCCCGCCGACAAGCCTCACGACGACACTGCCGCCAAGGGGGACAAGGGGGACAAGTCGACTCCGCCCCGCCCCGACAAGCCTGACGACGCGCCACCTGCTCCCCCCCGCACCGATGACACGCCACCTACTCCCCCCCGCACCGACGACGCCCCCCCGCCCCCGTCTGAGAAGCCCGCCGACAAGCCTCACGACGACACCGCCGCCAAGGGGGACAAGGGGGACAAATCGACTCCGCCCCGCCCCGACAAGCCTGACGACGCGCCACCTGCTCCCCCCCGCACCAACGACGCGACGCCTACTCCCCCCCGCACCAACGACACGCCACCTGCGCCACCTCGCACCAACGACAAGCCCCTCGACGACGACGCCGCTAAGGGGGACAAGGGGGACAACGCTGCTGGGAAGAGATTGGCTCCTTCCATTGTCGCCAACCCACACGCGGTACCCGGCGCCGCACTGATCCTCGATGGGGCTTCCTGGTCGGCTCGAAACCCCGACGATCCAGCTCAACCGCCTCCAAAACAGCAGAAGAAGGTCGAGCTCACGGAGGCGGAAAAGGCGGAGTTGCGGTTGAAACGGGAGCTGAAGGCAAAGGCGAAGGAGGCGTACCAGGACGAGATCGCGGCGTTCGAGAAGGAGATGACGGATAGGGCGGAGGAGTTAGCGAAACGTTTTGAGAAGAAGCCCGCGAACGTGAAGCAGGACCTGAGGGGTAAGACGAGCCTTGCCCATCAGCGTTCGGCCACCCTGCACAACGCAAAGCTGTGGCGATTCTCGAAGGAGATTAACGCCGGTAAGTTCTCTTTTTTTCAAGGTCAATGAGTGTCACTAACCTGATCCCCAGATAGAGAGCCCGGGGAGAAGATAAAGCCGCCCGAGTTGCAGAGGTTGCTGAAGGAGGCACCGGAGTACCAGGATATGACGGAGGAAGAGGAAGCCCTCCTACTCCAGGAGCATGTGGAGCATGCGGAGCACAAAGGGGTGAAGAAGTCGGGGACGAGGCTGAACAATGCGGCGTCGTCGCGGGACTGCAGCGCGTTCGCAAGGCGGATCGAAATCGAGGTGAGTAGTACCTCAAGTTTTTTTTATGTCGGCTGTCATTAACTCTGCGTACAGGCGACGTTGCTGTATCGACGTACGGGGGCCCTTGCCTTCCTCACCATTGGGAGGTCGGACGTCAACGACACCATCCACCCCCTCGTGGTCGGCGCACCCGAGGCGATGGAGTACTTCCCGCGCGTTCTCCACACCACGAACGAGCAGTTCGCCCTCCGGTTCGACAACTGGGGCTGCAACAAGCACGCAGTCGGGGTCGACCTCACCTACAGCAGGTTGCGGAGGGAGTGCACGATGATGATCACTGACGGCCTGGGTAAGTGCTTGCTGTCTACCATCTTCCGCCCGATGTCACTGACCTGTCTACATTGTATTGTAGAACGTAAGGTCAACAAGAGGGTCGAGATGCGATACAAGGATTATGATTGCTTTATCCTGGAGTACGTACCGTTTACCTCCCTTTTGTTCCGTTGAAGCTGATGGTTGCAGCCACGGGTTCGAGCTCCAGGGATGGCCCGAGTCGGTCGAGTTCATGTGTCCCTCCGACCTCGGCACCGTGGAGCGGCTCCGTCCGCTTTACGACGCGTTGATATCAGGCTCTTGCCGGTGGGAGCGGCTGACACCGGAGAAGAGGAAGGAGATCGAGGCGGCCTTGCCGTCCAAGCCAAAGAAGACCTCGGGGAAGAAGTCGGGGAAGGCAGCGTTGTCGAAGAGGAAGCGGGACGACGACGACGACGACGACGAGGTGGATGAGGACAGTGACGACGGAAGAGCCAAGCCCAAGAAACGTCGTCGGACCAACCTCAAGGACTACACCACGGAGGAGAGGGCGGACCACAAGCGGAAGATGGAGCGGGACAAGAAGGCCCGGCAGCGAAAGAAACTCAGGGAGGAGGGGAAGGAGGAGCAGGAGAAGCCCAAGAAGAAGTCGTCGGGGACCAAGAAGAGGACCCGGTCAGAGGACAGCGACGATGAGCCTCCCGCCAAGAAGTCCAAGTCCTCTGTGAAGAGGAAGATCGTCAGTCGGCCAACGATCGACGACACCGACGACGACGCCAACGCCGACGAGGGGTACAGCCCCGACGAGAAGGCCAAGGCCCTGAAGCGGCTGTCCAGACGCCGGGGTGCAAGTGCCCGTTCGCCCTCCCCTGCCCCCAACAAGAACTACGCTCTCCTGAAGTCGCTCGCCGCGGACAGCCGTAAGAAGGGTGCCTCCGCCTCGAAGTCCACCTCCACCTCGAAGTCCGGCTCCACCTCGAAGTCGGTCTCCACCTCGAAGCTCCCAAAGTCGCTCTCCACAATCTTCAATGAGTACGAGGGGTCGGAGGAGGAGGAGGAGAGCTCGTAGGCTCTCCGCCGGACCTCTTGTGCTGATCTCGGCTGGTCTTCTTGTGCTCATCGTCGTCGTCCCCGCGAGTTTTTTTTAGTCTCTTTATACTTACATACACGAATGTCTATCTGCTTGTCTGCCTGCTGAATACGAATTATGCTTGTCCGTGATACTAAGGGGACATGTCCCCCTTGAACATGTAAATTCCCCAGTGAGTGTGTCCCCCTAGTGAGTGTCCCCTTAGTGCCACGCTAGTTCGTTATCAGGTAGAGGTAGGGCTAAAGGGGGCGCACATAATTAAGTCTGCATGGTGTAATGGGAACACGCCCGGGGCCAGTAACATCGTTACAAAGTATGCTTCTACAGGCGATGCGGGTTCGATTCCCGCTGTGGATGTAGTCTTTTGTTTCTAGTTTTGATGTGCAACACGGTACATTGAAACCATTTCCCGCTACTAACACAATGTCATTCTATTCCCACACCATTTACATGGTCTCCGAGGATGTCCCCCCCACCGCCGAAACTTGGTCCCGCTGTCCCTCTAGTCCCGGTGTCCCTTTAGTTGCATACTGTCCCGTTAGCACCCTGTCTGAAGGTTTTACGAGTCTGAATGTCCCCACACCGCCAGTACGTCCCTTTTACAATCACGTCCCGTTTGTCCCCCCACCGCATATGTACCGGACACGTGACGCTATCCCCACACCCGCCAACAAATGGAAAGAAAATGTCCCGCTTGTCCCCCCACCGCAGATGTACCAGGCACGTGATCCCATCTCACGCTGTGAAAAAAATGTCCCGTTTGTCCCCCCACCGCGTGTGTATCGAGCACGTGATGTCCCTCTTAACGTCCCCCCCACCGTGTGTGTACCGGGCACGTAATGTCCCTCTTAACGTCCCCCCACCGTCGATGTTCTGTGAGATGTCCCCCTGTCCCCCCACCGCGGCTGTCCCCCCTGTCCCTACACCGTGGATGTTCGCCCGAGGTGCTCTAAGTCCAATCTGTCCCCCCTGTCCCCCCACCGCACCTATATCTGGCCCTTGTCCCCACAGTATCCCTGTCCCTGCACCGCCGCTCTATGCGTCCCCCTCCCCTAGAGGGACCGTCCCCCGTGGTCCCCCCCCGGTCCCTGTAGGTCCCCATAGGGTGGCTGCAGGGGGGACTTTGGCAGGCCGAGGTCTACCTAGGACCACATTTAGGGGGGATAAATGTGGTCCCACAAGGTCCGTTAGTTGGGAATGGCAGGTGATGTTGAATCGGTTGAACTTGTCGCGTGTCACTCCCCCTGTCGATCTGAACCAAAAAATACAGTATCTCACCTGTAGGTATCTCCCAACAGTCCCCCTCATCAAAATGTCAACAGTGCCATTGCGCATGGTCACCACGACACTAAACCTCAGCACACCACCGCCCGCGTCCGTGCAAACACCGTTTCACGTCTTCTGTCCGGCTACACCCCCAGCAGTCACCCTCGCCAACCAGGACCGCCTTGACTTTAGCCACTATACCGGCATGTTTGTTGTCGATCACAAGAGACGGTGAACAGGGATAATATAACAAGAAATAAATAACCTAAGCAAATCTTGAGAGTCGAGAACGGAGGAGAGCAGTGCCGGATCATTCTGGCCCCAGGCAAAATTACGTGAATGGTGTCTGCTGGCACCGCGCGCCACGGCCCACTTCCCTCCTTTCCACTTAATGCTCTGACCGTAGTCCCTCCCGTGCTCTACAAACACACACTCCGCCCGTCGGTTTCATCTCCGCTGTCGATGCACACACATCACGGCATGGAGGCTTGTGGCGATTCAGCCCCATCACCGCTCCCTCGCACACACTGTCCTCTCCATCGCAATTGGATGGGGGAAATGGTATAGTCGAGTCGGTAAAAGGCGCCTTCTCGATAAATGTGCCCTACACACGCAAGGTGTGCGTTATGAGCGCCAAAAGTCAACAGTTACACGTAGCCTGGGTAGGTCTGCTCCCTGTTTGGAGGATCGCGCCGTGCTTTTCTTCAACTGAACGCGCGCTTCAACACCTGTTATGCCACCGGCATTACTATGCTTCCTGCGGACCCACAGACATCTGCGTCCAAGATATTTGACCTGTAGCAAAAAATCAGCCTGCCAAATGACCGAAACTGGGCACTTCAGATTGTTTGGCCCGTGTCAGAAGCAATTGGGTGCCAATTATTCTGCCAGCATACCACCTGCATCACTACGCTTCCTGCAGACCGGCGGACATCTTTGTCCAAGATATTTGACCTACAGCAGAAAATCTGCCCACCAAATGACCAAAACTGGGCACTTCAGACTGTTCGGCCTGCATTAGAAGCAATTGGGTACAAATTTTTCTTCTGAGATTCAACGATTGTTACTATGCTTCCTGCAGACCTAGGGACACTTTTGCCAAGACATGTGACCTGCCGCAGAAAACTCGCAGAAAATATGGTGGCCAAATACCAAAGTCCGACCCCTTCAGACTGTTCAGCCTGCGTCACAAGCAATGGGGGACCGACTTTTCTGCCAACATACCACCTGCATCACTATGCTTCCTAGAGACCCAGGGACACCTTCGCCCAAGATATTTGATGTGCTGCAGATCTGCAGCAGAAAATTCACCTGCTGAATGAAGAAATCTGGGCATTTCGGATTGTTATCAGAGTGCCCAGCGTGGGTCCTTTGGCCGGCAGATTTTCTGCTGCAGGTCAAATGTCTGGGGCAAAAGGGTCCCTGTGTCCAGAGGAAGCCTAGTAATGACGGTGGCATAGCAGAAGAAAATTTGGTGCCCTATTGCTCCCGATCCCCAGTTTCGGTCATTTGGCGGGCAGATTTTCTGTTGCAGGTCAAATATCTTGGATGACGGGGTCCCTGGGTCCGCAGCAAGCACAGTGATGCGGGTGGTATGTTGGGAGAAAAATTGGTGCCCCATTGCTTCTGCCGCAGGCGGAACAATCTGAAGTACCCAGATTCGGTCATTTGGTGGCCAGATTTTCTACTGCAGGTCAAATATCTTGCCGGAAGATGTCTGTGGGTCCGCAGGAAGCGTAGTGACGCCGGAGGTATGTTGGCAGAAAGGTTGGCGCCCAATTGCTTCTGATGCAGGCCGAACAATCTGAAGTGCCCAGATTCGGTCATTTGGTGGGCAGATTTTCTACTGCAGGTCAAATATCTTGGACAAAAATGTCTGTGGGTCCGCAGAAAGCATAGTGATGCAGGTGGTATGTTGGCAGAAAAATCGGTACCCAAGCGCTTCTGACGCAGGCTGAACAATCCGAGGTGCCAAATTTCTTTATTCAGGGAGCAGAATTTCTGCTGCAGATCCGCAGCAGGTCAAATATCTCGAATGAAGGTGTCCCTAGGTCTGTGGGAAGCATAGTAATGCAGATGGCAACTCGGCAGAAAAATCGGTCCCCCAATTGCTTCTGCCGCAGGCCGATGATTCCGTCATTTGGTGAGCAGATTTTCTGCCCCAGATCCGCAGCAGGTCAAATATCTCGGATGAAGGTGTCCCTAACTATAGGTCCGCGGGAAGCATGGTAATGTGGGTGGCATGTTGGCAGAAAAATCGCTCCCCAAATGGTTCTGACGTGGGCAAAATAATCCGAGGTGCCCAGATTCGATCATTCGGGGGGCGAGTTTTCTGCAGTAGATGCGCAGCGAGTCAAATGTCTTGGGCGAAGATGTCTATGGGTCCGGAGGAGGTGCAGTTAGAAGGATGGCACTTCAGGAGACAAATCGGCCACCCTTCCCTCGCTGCCTGAACCTCCAGCCCCGACGAAATCTGCGGTCTCAATGAGGAGGCAGAGCATCAAGGTGATCGCTCATCGGCATGGCACATTTCTTGATTCCTTCACCGGCGGGAGCTTGGCTACAGGTTTTGAACGACGCGAGCGATGGCCGACACGTATTCCCTGCATGACCTCGAATCGGTGTCCGCACAAAGTCTACAGGTGTGAGATCACTCATAGCCGTGAGGGAGCCAAGCACGTCGTCCAAGTCGTATCCTTGGCATGCTCGGACTCAATGCCCGCTTTCCGGAACGTTGGACTTGCTCGGACGCAACAGTGTATGTATTCATGAAGGTCTTGCAGCTGACTTGATTTTTGCAGACGCTGCGCGGAATAGCGCTGGTGAGTTCCGTGTACTTGATGCGTGCGAGCCAGTGTGGTGAGGAAAAAGAATACGAAGTAAATTTATTGCCCACTCGTTTTTGCAGATGGAGGCGGCGCAGCGATGGCAGCTGAGGATGGTACAAAGCGGCGGGGAAATGGGTTCTTCAGGCCGTGGCTTCCAACGAGTTTGGGTGAATGGGTGACAGTCTTCCTCAGTCTTCGGTCATCGGGAAGATGCGCAGCGGCGCTGAGCATGGCAGCAGCACAATCATCTGACCGCGAGGTCCGAGCCGTGGAATTTGACACGACAATTGTGAGCCGAGAAATAAATGCCGAGACGATCGGACAAAGGATCACCGACTACATAGGTTCAGCAAAAAACATGAGTAGAGCATATTTTGCACCCACCCTAACAACACTTTGATTTTGCAAATATGCTCTAGTTCAACAAGTCCGGCAGCGAATGAACAAAGGACCCACAAAAAACGGAAGAACAAATGAAAGCAGAACGGAGATGCACCAAAAGGGGATGTAGAGATGTTAAGACACGACTTCAACTACGTCATAGAGGGTCGATGCAAAGAATGATTCTAAATTAAAAATTTTAGGACTCGTAATACCTGCAACATGCGGGTAAGGTACTTAATCAAACTCGACTTACACCCCAAGGAGGTGCAGTAACAAGGGTGGCATATTGAGAGAAAATTCCGTGTCAAAGTGCTTGTGCTGGAGGGGAAATAATCTGAGGTACCCAAATCCGGTCATTCGGTGGGCGAATTTTCTGCTGCAGCTTTGCGGCAGGTCAAATATCTTAGACCAAGATGTCTCTGGGCCCGCAAGAGGCGTAGGAGCGACAGTGGGATATCAGAAGAAGGCTCGGTGCCTAAATGCTTGTGACACAGGCGAAACAATCTGAGGTGCGCAGATTCGATCATTCAGCAGTGAAATAGCTTGGGCAAAAATGTCCCTAGGTTGAGAGGACGTGTAGTAGCAGGGATGCCATATCCGAAGGAAAATTGGTGCCTAAATGCTTCAGACGCAGGGTAAACAATCTGAGGTGCTCAGATTCTGTCATTCAGTGGTGTGGAATGTAAGTTTCATATATTCATTCGCTCATTCATTTACCCACCAACTCAACTCTTGTTCAGTTACTTTAACCTTACCTTCGCTCTGCAACCTAATTGCATTCAAATTCAAGCTAAAGACATCCAGCGGGTGGTACTTTGCTCCCATTCATTGTCCATCGGCAGTATGGAAATTCGTTTTCCAGTTCTGTTCTAGGGTGCA